GTTGCTGATGAGGTAACTGCTAGTTTCCTAACCCAACCTAACAACAATGTGTTGTTCCATAGTGCTGCAGCAAAACTGTGATGTGGGAGAAATCCATTCTTTGTCACTTTTGGCCAATTTTTTCTGTGTTTCTTTCTCAATGTGTTATCCCTAGCATAGCTGCAACCATCTATGCTGATGAATTTGGTTTTTGACCATGTTTTGATATACATTATGGAGATTGGTTTTGGCTGGTTCTGTAACGTTCTGTGGACATGCTTTTCCCAGGTGGCTGCCATCATGCCAAAGACAACATGAACAGATGGCACAGTGCAAACAAATGGACCAAAGAATAATAATGAAATCATTCTGGACTGACATCTTTTCAGAATTTAGTTACATTGGTTAATGTTAGACTTGGCATTAGCCATATATTGTTTTCTAATTTTTATTATTATTATTATTATTATTATTAAGTGTTCTGTCTTACGACAGGTCCATTGCTCTGCCCAAAAAGAGCTCACCAGTTGTCCCTATTCTCGGCTTCTCGCTTTAATTCCTGGAACGTCATCTTCTTTCCTTGTTTAAGGTCGTCGGTTAGCTGTATCAGTCTTCTTCCCAGTCCTCGCTTTCCTTCAACCTGGCCTTCGATGATATCACTCAGTAACCCATTCCTTCTCATAATATGTCCCAGCCAGTTAGCTTTCCTTCGTGTAATAAACTTCGTTATACAGGAAAATATATTCTTAAAAGGTGACCGAAGTCCATCTTGATATCCTTGAATTGTGTGGAGTTGTAGGTAAGTGCAGATATTTCAGAGTAACATACAGCTTCACTCCTGAAGATGGAGACACCATTTGTCTCCGAAACGTTGGCAAATAAATATGTAAAAAAGAGAGTGATTCCACATCACTTAATAAAAGTAATAATGGATATCTACAACAAAAATAAAATAATTATAAAATACAATTCCAAATTATCGAGACCAGCAGAGATTAACAGAGGAGTGCGCCAAGGATGTCCCCTTTTACCTACGCTCTTTAACATTAACATGAATGAAATAATAACAAAGTCGCAAAACGAAGAAATATCAGGTATTCCACTATCTAGAAACACAGAACTTTATACTTTATTATTTGCAGATGACCAGGTGATAATACCAGATACAGAGGATAATTTACAGAAAGCTACATTTAGATTAAATAAAGTTATAAAATAATATGGATTAGCTATCTCAGTAAAGAAAACAAAATCAATGACATTTAAAGGACCGAATCCATTAAGAAGTAAAATAGTAATCAACAACCAAATAATAGAACAAGTGAGTACTTTCAACTATTTAGGAAATTTGATTTCATATGAGGAAGAAAAAGATATGTCACAAATTAAACAATTATTTGAAAATAACAGGCATAATAAACAATGTGTTTAAACCGCAGAAACTTTAAAGAAAACCAGATTGAAATTATACAACACACTAGTTCTCCCTACTCTTTTATACGATAGTGAAAATTGGACAATCAGAGCAGCAGATACATGAAGAATAAGAGCAGCAGAAATGAAATACATGAGAAAAACAGCAGGTTACAATAGGATGGATTATAAAACTAATACATAAATTGTAGAGGAGTTGAAAATAGTTCCAGTATTAGAAAAAATAGAAAATAATAAAACAAAATGGTTTGAACATGTAGACCGAATGGCAAGAAGCGGGCTACCCAAAATTTTAAGAAATCATGTACCAAAAGGAAGAAGTCGGGGAAGACCTCTGAAGAGGCTTTTGGAAAAGTGAAGTCGGAACAGGCCAACAAATGGCCTAACTCCATGAAAGCTACATGATGATGATGATGAAGTTGTGATGTCATCTGTTTAAGTTGTGTTTTTCTTGAGTTTTGTCAGTGTACACTGTATGGACTAAGTATATCACAGAACACATATTTGATATGAGTCTGAAACCAGTTCTAATATATTTCCGTTCATTTTGTAGTAAGCTTTACATTGAGGTGACAAGTGCATGTGTTTATAAATACAAACAAATCCTGCATTTTGTCATGCTTGGAGTTAAGAGCAGGGGAATATGAGCAGAGTTGTCTCAAATATGTTCTACTACCTCATGAAGTTATGAATTCAAGCAATACATTCAACATATTCAAAACAATTAAAATAAAATTTTTTGAAATAATTTAGACAACCCAATAGACTTTATTTTAAGTTACACAACAGTTACTTCTATAACTAAGTGTTTTTGAGAAAATTATGAAAATGATAAAGCTTTTTGTGTACAGATAATTGTATAGTGATTCATCTCAGAAAATGTTGTTTCATGTCATCTTCATCAAAATTAGGGTACATAATAGACTGATTCTGAACAAAATCAAAAATTTTCCATAAGTTTTAGAATCACGCCTAATACCAAGTTTCATTCAAATTTTGCTAAGTAGAGCCTGCTTTCAGAGAACAGACATCAACAGACGGATGGACAAAAACTCTACATTTTATATACTGTGCATAGAATGCATATAAAAATGACCTGCAAAACTTAGTTATTATAAGGATTGTATGAATATCATTTGTAGTAACTGTGATAATGCAGAAAGTTGCATCTCCACAAAGTGTCTTACCTGTAAAGGAATATTTTTTGATTTTTTATCATTCAGAAGAAACAGAGTTTGAAACCCTACTATCAAATGGCATGTATCAATCTGCCACAGGTTTCAGTTACAGGCACCAATGTTATAGCTGTGAAGTGCAACTTCAGTAATTCTGGTGATTCTGGAAGAAGAGTTCTGGTGATTCTTTGTGCATCTCTGTAACATGATGTCTTATGGTGAGAGGCTATGAAAATAAGGCCCTTTGCTTTAATATATGCTTACTACATTATAATTTGTATATGGATAGATGTATTGAATGAAAGTGTAGAGGTTCTTCTAGGATATTGTTTCTTTTTGTTTGTTACTCATTAATTTGTGATATTATTGGATGCTATAAAATAGGTTTATGAAATGTGTATATAATGCACAGTCCAAGCGGTCAAGGACAGTTAACGAACTCATCAGTATTCAAGAATTATTATATTTCTCAATTTCATTTTGATATTTAGTTAGCGAACATTAACTTGAATGAATGGAAAAGACAGCTATAGAATTTAAATACCTGCAGGTTTTATAATTTAGCTTTTACTGGCTTAAAAATGAAATTCTTAACATTTTTTTTATTTGCCAGAGCTGAAGTTTTTAGGATTCTGTTTCAGGCTTGAATAAAACACAATAAATTTAAGCTATTGTACATGCAGGTCAGGACATGCCATTTGATTCAATTGTGACACAGTGACTAAGCTATGCTTAAAGGAAGAATGGATGTAAGGGAAAAGTGCAGGACATTGCTTGCTTTCAACTGACCAAAGTTTACAAGATGTTGTCTGAGGAGTTATGCCTCATAAGTAGAAGGGACTGGCTGAAATCTGCCAGTAATTGGTGAGGGATTTGAAACCAAACCAAAAACTGAAAAGGGTATTTTAGAAGTTGTGGTTCTGCAAGATTTTTAAAATTACACACACTTCACTGCCAGTTAGTAAACAGAGCAGATATGTCTTCATAAATCAATCATATTTATAACTAGGAAAGGATTTTATAACCAACTTTAATAAATTAAATTATATAAATATTTCATAAACAGCAAACTGAGGCAAGCAGTTTAAAATTTGGGTCAGGTTAATTTCAGATGTTTGACGTTGCAGCACATAAATCATTATGAACATTTATTTGTATTTCTGACAAATTATGAGAGTGTATTATGTGGTGATATGTAAGACTTCTAGTGGTGATAATTAACAGGCTAGTATATCGAGCTGTAAAAGACATTCTAATAACAAACCTGGTTATAATTCATTACTGACCACTCATGATACTTCTACTTCTCTTCAATGCCCCATTCATCTCTGAAAAAGCAGGTCCATGATTGACTATAAGTAACCTACCCCTGTAATATAATTTACATGAGATTCAAACTGACAACAACCAAGGAAATATCAGTCCAAATTGTTTTAATTCCTAAGGAAACAGTACAAAAATGTTCTTTTGTATATTTAACAACTAAAATACTCCATAGGGCACAGTCATTGAGACATTTAAATAATATTATGACTTGTATTTGTATAACATGTATTGTATTATTATGACTTATTCTACATCCTATTGTCATCTGACTAACTTATGGATCCATGGAATGTAATAAAGATGTATGTATGTATATAAGCTGATCACATGACCAGCTAGTCAAGGTATTCTCTTCTCTTTATGGAAATGATTCATTGTCTAGTTTGCAACAGCTCATAGACAAGCTCTACCCTGCACCAGATCAGTCCAATTCACATTTTAATATTGACCTATACTACCACCTGTGCCAAGATCCTGTAGGTCTGAAAGCTTTATAACCAATATTTTGTAAGCACTTTTGTTTCCCGCAGGCATTCTCTGTGTCCTGCCAATCATAACCTTGATTAGGGTGGAGATTTTCACGCAAATTTGCTAACTCCCCTGTAATTTCATCTCTTTAAAATGCAAACATTCTCCCTCATTCTCTTTCTCAAATCTCTCAGCCTCTGTTTCGCCTGTATGAGAGTCAAAGTTTCACTCTTATACGAAACAACAGTTAAAATTATGGTGTTTTATAGTCTAATCTTTGTGTCTTTAATTGGAAAAATGAGCCCATGGGGTAGAACTATCTAAAAAAATATACAAGCATCTCTTCTGCTCATCTTGGTGAGTTCGTGTTATAATGCCCGGGTTACACATCCGCATCAGTTGAGCGTCGCTCATTTTGTGAATGCATCCATTCTATGGAATTGGTGTAGTGAAGTTCGTTTTTAAGAATGATTTCACAATTAATTTACAATGGACTCTTCTGCAAAAGTAAGAAATAATCGACTGGGTACTGTAAAAAGACGGAACTCGTATCAGATCCTTAAATGTGTCTACATTTGTTTCTCTTTGGTTGGCACAATATTGTTTCTCTTTGGTTGGCACGATATTCTTTGACTCTTACTCGTAGCTACAAAATTCCATGAGGCAGCAGTTGACTTAGCAGTGTGGTGTTGGAAGTGCAGATTTTTAAATTGTCGGTAGTTTTCATTGTACTAAAACGTGGCAACTGTGACAAATTACTGATGTAGTGATTGTGTATATTTATTGTCGTAGTTTATTTTATTACGAACGCTATTAATGTCAGTTGAGAATTTGGGTAACTAAATCGTGTTTGCGCAGTCGCATACTGCCATAAATTCCCTTTGTCTTCATTTGTGGCGTATAAGATACCAGGGGCTTGCAATATGCGTTATGGCAACACAATATAAAACATTTTCACTTAAAAGGTTATTTATGCTAGTGAATATTGAGCCAGGGTTAGAAAACGATGATATACACATAACATTCTTGAACAGTCGGCACAGTGAAGACGCGTTGGAATACAGCTTTGATGTGTAAACTCAGTGACATACATAGTGCGTTCAGAGACATCAATGAGAACGATATACGGTTTGGTAGCTGTTGTTGCCTGGTAGTGGGAACGAATAGTTTAAATAAATTTTACATTAATCGTTTTCAACAACGGACATAATCATCTCTATACCGAACATTTTCACAGAGACTTGAATGTAGGATGGTTATCCTGTTTGTGTAATTTACTTTTCGAAACAACTTTGTCTTGGAGCCATTCTTCTATTGTGATTTTCCGAGCAGTGGAGACCACGTTAAAAAGATGAAAAAAAGTAGTATAATAATGGAGAATATTATAAGTTTCTAAAAATAGAGAACAGCCAAAGGAAAGAAGAAACTTATGTTCACCTTTCTGGTCTTGAAATATGCCACCAGCAGCACGAAACACAGGTAGTTAGTGTGTGTGAAGATAAGTTAACAGTGTGGTCAGGAAACACATTTCCAGGCAGACTGCTTATAAATGTTCATCTTTCATAATTTACTGGTCATCATCAGTTGCATGACATCTTGCACTACTAGGTCCTGTTTAGTTTTTTCTTTCTACTCGTTTCCTTCATAAGTTCTAAATTCTAATGTACCTCTCTGTACATATTGTGTGTAAAGTGCAGAAGAAGGCCAATGTTTTTTCTTTCGGTATTGTATTCTTAGTGTAGCTCTGTCAGTATGGTGACTGGCAATGGACTGGACGAGGAGGGGTCGATCCCAAAGGGGGGTAGAGGATTTATTGTCTAGCCTCTGCCTCCAGACTGGGTCTGGGCTACCCATCCTCATATCCAATGGGTACCGGGGTCGTTTCCCGGGGGTAAAGCATGGCCATGGTGTGATGCTGACTACTCACCCCCATCTAGTTCTAAGGTCAAGAATGAGTTAGTAGCTATACCTCCTCAACCCAAATACCTACAAGGCATGTAGTGGGAAAGCTTTACTCTTAGTACTAATGTTGGAAATAGATTAAATTGATAGGGATTGAAAGCAGAAAGTTTGCCTAGGGTGTCAGACACCTTCATGCCATACCTTTGCACATAAGCAACATGGTAGATTCTCATTCATAATCATAATTGAAGGAACAGCTACAGTTAAAATTTATTAGGGTTAGTGGTATTTGATTTAATGAATACAGTAGTAAATATGACAGCTTAGTTGGGGTGATATGTGGCAGAAAAGTAAAATACTGAAACTACATTTCACTGTCACAATAAGAATGCAAGATGTCTCATATTTTGTCCCCTCTGTGCAAGGAATTTAGGGACAATAGCATTAAAAGGGATCATAGAGAAATGGATACTGAAGGCAAAAGGTGAATGGAAGTTGCCCAGGACTGTGTCCAGTGGTGGTCTTCACTTTTAGACATGATCAGCTTTTGTCCTGTTACCATACACTGATCTCGTTTTAGGAGCTAAAACGAGGAGCTGAGAATAGAGAAAACTGGAGAGCTCTTTTTGGGCAGAGCAATGTACCTGTCGTCAGACAGAACACTGAATAATAATAATAACCATACACTTCCTAGTTGTTTCATGTCTCGCATTCATGTCATAGTTACTCAAAGTTTTTTTTCTATCAACAGGGTGATCATGAGTATATGCAGTGTGGCACAAGCTTTTATATGGCTCTGGAGATAATCATCGACAAAGGCTACAGCAATGTAAGTGTCTTATTCCATAAGAGCATGTTATTAATGATCTGTTGGTTTTATGTAACTCAACAAAAGTGATTAATGTAAACTAACAAGAAAACACATTATAATAATCTGAGGTTTATGAACCACAAGTAGTAAGGGAGTTTATAACAACTCATGCACAAACTAGTCAGTTTACATTGCAGGAGACAAAACCATTCAAGTGACTGTGGTGCAGTCACTAGCCTGGCATGATGACATACATATTTTTAATATAATGGAATTTGAAAGCCAAGTACTATACATGCACTGATGTTAAAAATAAGTGTTGTTTAGACTTTGTCTCTTATCTTACTCAACATGGAAGTAGCGTTAATTGTCTACTTGTGTCACATTACAAAAAAAAAATTGTATTAGCCTTCAGCAAATTGCATGCTTCAAGGGTATGGAAATCCATCATATCTCTGAACACATCCAAGTTACCAGTGCAGTATTGCTAGCTTTGCTACATTGAGAGTTCTTGGCTGTCTTCACCTGCCTGGGCTTCAGTCTTCAATGTTACAATGTTGTGCAGTTTTGCTGTTACCTTATAGCGCACAGTTTGGTGGTGGCTGCTTTAAAAACGAAATGTTCCACGTGTACACATGAAATGTATTCCATTTAATGTAATATTGCTCACCTTCTAAAAGGCATGGGAATGTCTTTGTGTTGGTTATTTAATCAAGTTCTTTGACTTACATTTTACAGATGTTCAATGTTGAGTGGCCTGGCACATAACATAATTGTCTTCAGTTTCGGCACACACATTAAGCAATTCGAGGGGAGTGTAGCCAATTCTCCTACGAATTTCTGGCAAAGTGGATGACAGTGTTGGCACATTCACAGCATCCTTGATGTACCCACAAAAGAAATCTTGAAGGGGAGGAAGGTCATGCACACAAGGTGGCCAAGTCATAGCTCCACCCTTGACAATAAATGTCTCTGGAAACTTGCAGTTAAGACATCTCTCACTTCCTTCTGAAAATGTGGAAGCGTTCTGTCTTGCTGAAACAGCATGTCAACAGGACACTCTTCTAAAATAGGTATGAGGAATTCTTCTTCTTCAGATGCCATTATAACAACTGTGAATGTAGTGCTTCTGGTGCAAAGATATTAAAACTAAAGCAGCACAAATTATGAACTTCATCATATAACCTACTCAAATGCATTTAGTTTTTATTCCCCTACCTCTAGGTTCATGTGCATTATTACACTGAAATGGTATACACTTCACATGCACACACTGTATGTAAGCAGGTCTTGAATTGAAAAAATGAGAAACTTTTGCTAGAACTTGTTGCAGTAAAAGGTATTGTTGACTCACAGCAGTTCAGAAAATATGGACTAAACATGTAGTTGCTTTCTCCACAAAATCACAGAAAAGCTCCTCTTTGCTTTACAACTTTTGTCTATGCACTTGTGTAGCATTTAGGGGAATCACTGAATGGGTGTTAATGGCATTTGTTAATTTTCTTGACTTCACTGCTGATGTAATTTAATGTAAAAAGAAGTGATAGTGTAATGTCAATTATAAACGATGGTTCTTCTTCATTTTGCTCTGCAGTCCTTTGTGGACCCTGCCCTCCTTCAAAATCTTCCTGCATTGCTCCTTATTCGATGCCTTCCATCTCCAGCTTTAATTCCCAGATTATTCAAGTCTTCCTCTGTGCAGTTGTGTTGTAAACAGTGGTTAATAAAGTGATTCTTTTGATTCTGATTGAGCACTCAGAGGAAAACCATGAGGAAATTCAGCACAATCTCTGGCTGGTTAGGAGTCAAACTGATACCTACATGAAATAGATTAATGAAGAAAAAGCATTATCAAACTTAGGAATGCTCCATATTAACCTGGAGGCAATAAATGAACAATCAATTCATTCTGGCCACAAATTTTGCAAGTATTACCTATAATTTGAATTGTTGCAGGAAGTGAATTGTTGGAGTGTCGGCATTACAGCATTTGAAATGATGATCAGGCACAAACCCTTTCAGTATGATGGAACTGGAATTGATGCAGCACTCTATTGGTAAATATTTAGCATTTTGAAAGAGATCTGATGTATGTGTTCTCCGGGAATATAATTTTCCTCTGAACAAATTTCTATACAAATTTGTTCATGGTTAACTCCTGACTGTCTGTTTTAATGGCAGTAATGTAGGTGTATGCATTTGAAACATTTGGAGAAATAACTTAGGCCAGTAGTCCCTAACCTTTTTGTGCCTATGAGCACATTTGAGAATTTATGAGATCGTGGTGGGCACCAACCAATTAACAAAGCCAGATTTTCTTTTCTGTGGACAAATAAGATATGGACACCAAATAATACACAAAATGACGTTTAATGATACAAGAAACCACGCAATCAAAAATAGTTTTATAAGTACAATTATTATTACTCAAGTGGGAAGTTAGTGTGATGTTTGGCGCTGCATTTTATCAGCCAGTTTTTCAAATTTGGGAGTGTAGGATGATGTTGCTGCTTGCAAACAATCGTCAAGATGGGCATCAGTAAGTTGAGATCTTTGCTTTTATTTTATAATATTCGTGGTTGAACGGCCTTCATAATTCAGTATAACCTCTTTTTGTATCAACACGGGCACCCAAAAAAAGCCTTGGCACTGACTTAGGCAAAGAAACAGATTGGAAATACAAACTTGACCACTCATTAATTATGCAAGTTTCTGCAGGGCAGCAACTGAATGTAAGGACAAAGAAGTAAAGGGTTCCAAAAGCTGGAAAACTTAAAATGTTTAACATGGACCATCTTTCTTACCGATTCTATGACATACCTAGGAGATTTTTATGTGAATTAGACATTGACCAGCCCACTTACAGCAACTTTGGGTGGCATTAAAAACATTAATTGTGGATGCATGTTCAATGAGTACTCTCTTTTTATGCCAAGTACAAGAATGAACATTTCCCTTACAGCAACATTTTGCATCATATGTCAGACATTCCACCATGGTTCTTGGACAATGAGTAGATTTTCTCGGAAAAATGTTGAAGAAGGATCCAAAAATTTGTTTAGATGGGGGGAAAAGGTGGAGCAGAGATTATGAAGAAACAATTTTTCGACGTACTTCTTTTACCATACCGTTCATCATATAATAATGTGCTATATTACACATGTTTCAGTTCTAGATTGTGTCTTATTCATGTAATGTACTGTGAAAATCAACTACAGTGGGAAGACCAATAAAGTTTTATATTTTTGAGATTGTTTGTAGATAATAAGATTCTTTAAATCTTCAGTAAGCAAGAATTGTGATTTACATCACCAGCAGAGCAACTTGTTTGTGACAAATATCATAGGCCTAACAACTGTACATAGTAACATCACGGTCATAGGTTCACAAATACCGTACATAACATACTGCTGTCAGATCGAAGGATGGTCTCACAGTACATTCCATAAATTTGTCAACAACTTTTTTCAAACCTTGAAGGCATGTTTAAGTGTCAAACGTCTCTCCCTGTAAATGCAGTATTGTTAAATAAATTAAGGTACGGACCAAAATTATAACCAAGTGAAGGCACGTGTTTCAAAAGTACTTGCATTTTCTGCGCAGCTGAAGTGTTTTTTAAATTGAGGTGTTCTGACTTCTACTCTGTCATGATTTACTCTGCAATAAACATACTTCTAATAAGTGTGCTTTATTCTGCAGGGAATAAACTGGGATTAAGTGCATAGAAGACAACTGATGGTGCCACATCCGGTAGTTTTCGAGTGTGAGGAGCTCAATTCCATTGAAGGACATTTTGGATTGAACGAGGTTACATTTGTGTGGCAACAACAATGAGGTCAGAAAAAGTTCTTTTTCTTGTGTTTTAATATGTGGCGCATAGCAACAGGGTTTATTTCTAGTGCAAGGTGTTGTAAGCTGAGGGCAGTAATACTTTGAAGGTCTTAATGTAATTAAGATTGTTGTGGTTGTCCTTATGCCTCAGTTGGGATTTTTTTCACTGTAACTGAGATAATGCAAACAGTGGGATTAAATATTCATACTGCCATTACTCAAGATGAGAGTTGTCAGCCTTTGGAAACGTGTGTTATGACTAGGAAACAGCCAACCTGGTCTGAAATAATGGAATTGCTTACTTGTTACTGAAAACACCCATAATCTGCACTCAATGAAAAATTATTAGGCGCTGTTTTAAAGAAACAGAGTATAACTTACACATCTGGCGCAACTATAAGAATGATTTTTATGCATCAAAGCAGTGAAAAATGTTTGTTTACATGATATGGGTCTGAAAAAGTCTCTGTTTTTGAGCTACAGTAGTCTTTTCATTTCCGGAATTTTTTCCTGGTTTTGAAAATTTTATAGCAAGTGCTCGGATGTCCTCTGTGACTTTCTATTTGTCTGCGTAGACTGTATATTATAGCCAAAGATGTAGGAAATTTAATTTACTTAAAGAAGATTGACACAATGCATATATCACATAATATTGTAAATGCCAAACTTATTTAAGCAACTGTTACCTTAGCATGGATTTTATAGGACAACCTCTGAATGATGATTGTTGTTTATCACCATATTTGGCAATAGACTTCATCATTGAAGATTTCTGTCTTCTGGGTTGTTTTGCTGTGTAGTATGGTAGATGTTTACTAACGTTCCAGAGGTCGTACTGCCTCTTGTCATCAGGGCGATTGGGTGGATGGGGCTAGGTTTATAGGAGCCGGACCGTGAATGGAGTAGCCTGCCCCAGCCAATGGGAGCAGGTGTCAAATCAGGCATGGGTGGGGACCCATAGGAGCGCATGGGCGTGTGTGAGAGGGAGAGAGAGAGAGAGAGAGAGGTTGAAGTACAGCCCTTGTGAGGGTCCTGGGATGTGCGTCTGGTGGGACATCAGGAGTTGGGTGGATTGTGATCAGGGCCCTGAAAAGGGGCCAGGTTAGTGGTCTGGGTGGGGCAGGTGGTGTCTCTCGAATGCTTTCGGAGCCCTCGAAGAGTGTGAATGAGGGGCTTCCATGACTGGCTCAGGTGAAGTCCATCTTCCCTGTTGAAGTTATTGGGATATAATTCAATCTCGATGACTTCCCTGATTATCCGATCCATGTAGCTGTTTTTTTGTCGAGAGGATAGAAGTATCCCTGAGCTGTATGTAGTGTCCCAGGTTGAAGCAATGTTCAGCAACTGCAGATTTCTCAGGTTTTTATTCTGAAAGGTCTTGTCGAATACTCTTTCTGTGTCTAAGAACAATGCCACCGTATCTCTGTTATAGTTGAAACCGTGAAAAATTGATTCTATATTTCTTATCAAGGTGATTGTTGTTGAATGTCCTTACTAAAGCCATATTGGTCATTTCTGATAACGTGGAACTCCTTAAGTTGCAAATGTAGCCTATGTGATTTTCTCAAAAACTTTATCTACAGAAATTAATAAACTTATTGGCCTGTAATTCAGTGGGGAGGCGTGACTTTTTTTTTCGGTTTCTGGAGCATAATAACTTCAAACTCTTTTCACTAGGTAGGGAAATAATTTAATGCAACTGACTTGTAATAAATCTGAGGACTGGCCATGGTAGGTGTTCCGTGTTCTATGTTCTGAATCCCATCAGGGTCAGGAGCCTTGCGTGGTTTGAGGTGGTGGATAATCTGTTCAATTTCAGATTGATTTGTAGGCCTTACCGAGGCCTGCTGAAGTTGGTTTAGACACTCAGTTACTGCCTGCTCTGTGCTGTCGGTAAAGTTTGTGTCTACGTCTCGGTTTGTTCGGAATATTTTTATTAAGGTATCCGCAAACATATTCACCTTTTCTTGATTTCTTAATGCAATTTTACCATTGTTTTTTGGAGGTGGGATTTTATAGTCCATGTTTGTAAAGCTTTTGGTCATCCTCTGAGTATCTTTTGTGTTGGTAGTATCTAGGGTTTGGTGTTTTTTTCTGCCAGGTGTTCAATACTTGTTGTTTAATAGCTGTTTCAAGGTGTTAATGAGAGGACGAAGACTGATGTCGTGAGTTCTTTGTCACAGAGTTCTCAGTTTGTTTCTTTTTAGAATGAGAATCTGACTGGAGGCTGCAATTTGCATTGACTTGAAAATTTTACTTCAAAGCAAAATAGAATATAGCATGGTTTTATTTATAATGTCTGTGAGGTGTTTAACAGCTGTATGAAATCACTGTTTGAGCTGTTCCTTCTAAACACTGCGTATTTAAGTTGTCTGCAATGTAATTTTGGAAAAGATTCCTGTCGGCCTCGATATAGATGAATGCTTGTTTTATTTTGTCTGCTTCTAGTAGACCATGTATATGAAAAAGGACTGGGTTGTGGTGAGGTGTTGAGAGACTGCTTTGTGTGCATAGTAAATGGCTGGAAAGTACATTCCTGATGATAGCGAAATCTATATCCACATGAGCAAGTTTAGTAGTAGTAGTTCCTGTAACTCCCAGGTGGAGCATGGGACCTCCTTTCGGAGCTTTCATAGTCTTCAAAGCATGCATTTAAGAGCAGTGAGTGACTAGCCCACTGACTGTACGATTTCCACTCACCCCTGATTTGACTGCCAGAGCCATCTAACAGTGAAGCAGTGAATCAGGAGAGACTTGGGTGAGAAATGGCATCCTCGCAAGGTTCTTTTACTTGTCGTAAATCTACGACATGGGACCGCCGGCTTTACTTCCACTCCGAAGGAAGTTGCGCTACGGATATTTATCACCCTTAACCATATACTGCTGTTGTGCTGTTCCGGCGGTAGTATTTTTTAAATGCCCGTTTAAATTTTGCTGTAAAATACGTTTTTTTCCATAACTTTTGAACTATATGAGATATAATTATGAATTTTTCACTGAAATCCTCTTAAAAGATGGTTTTGTAATCTTACCTTATAAGATGAGC